TATATAAAATTTATGTATAAATAAATTTTTATACTTAATATTCATCAAATATTGTTTAACATCTTTCTTGAGGATAAAGTAGTTAAGGACGTGCTTAACTCTGGGGTTAAGCCTAATTGGTAGGTGAGTAGGATATAAAGTTGGCTCCTTTTGGTTTCTTTTTTAAGAATTTGATTAAATTAAACCTCAATTTGTTCCCTTAACTATTATACAAACTTTAAATTTAGTTTTTAAATTAAATAGTTTTTAATTTAGTTCTTAAAATTTTTAAATTTAACCTTAAATTAATCATTCTATACAAAGATAATTAATATGTCTTGTTATTAATGTAACACATAGCCATTAATGGTTTTTTATCATTAAGTAATGGATATATTAATTATTTTTTAATAAAAAAAACTAACTTGGAATTAAATTTGAAAATTTTAAGGATTAAATAAAAAACTGTTTTAATTTAGAGGCCAAATTTAAGATTTGTACAATAGTTAAAGTACCAATGGGGTTTAACCATTTCGTTATAAATAGAGATGGAGAGCTAATGATTAGAATTCCCGCACAACCACCACCACCACCACCACACAACCACCACCACCACCACCTCCTCCGTCACTCAGTCACCCTCCCCTCCTCCACCCATCTCACTCTTCCTGCAAGGGGAAGAGTGAAGACCAAGACCAGAGACGGAATTTCGTGGAGTTTTATGGGTGGTGATCTCCAGCGCTAGCGCCGTCTTCATTCCTCCGCTGTCTCACCTATTCACTACAGCAAAAAGGCCCTGTCTCGGCTACTGTTCTTCTTCTTCTTCTTCTTCTTCTTTCTTGAGAATGAAACACCATAAACACTAATGAATTTGCTCAATTTCAATTCTTTTCATTAGTAATTTCAATATCAGCACCAGTAGCATCCCATATTTCGCACACAATTCATTTGAAGAAAAACAGAGCAATAAAGAATCCATGGCGCTGTTCATCATCTTTGTTCTTCTGTTTCTTTCTAAAGGTAGTAAAGTTGTCACTTTTTTGACAATTTAGACTGTCGGTACTTTTCATTTTGATCAAATTCTACTTTCTTTGAGTAAAATCGGTTTTGGTCTCTGTTTTTTCTCAGAGGCAACAGGGGCCACATTTACATTCATCAACAGATGTGATTTCACAGTGTGGCCGGGAATTCTAGCCAGTTCCGGTAGTGCAATCCTCGACAGTACTGGTTTTGAGCTCACAAAAGGGAGTTCTCGCTCCTTCCAAGCGCCCACCGGGTGGTCAGGCCGTTTCTGGGGCCGAACTGGATGCAATTTCGACGAGGCAGGTCACGGTTCATGTGCCACAGGAGACTGCGGCTCTGGTGAAATGGAATGCAATGGAGCGGGAGCCACCCCACCCGCCACTCTCGCGGAGTTCACTCTCGGCTCGGGAACCCAAGACTTCTACGATGTCAGTTTGGTCGATGGCTACAACTTGCCAATGTTCGTGGAAGTGAGTGGCGGGTCTGGAGAGTGCGCTAGAACGGGCTGCGCAGCGGATTTGAACAGAAGGTGCCCAGCCGAGCTGAGAGCTGACAGTGGCTACGCCTGCAAGAGTGCTTGCGAGGCGTTTGGAAGCCCCGAGTACTGTTGCAGAGGCGAATACAACACGCCGGCAGCCTGCAAACCGTCGATGTACTCTCAGATGTTCAAGTCTGCCTGCCCCAAATCCTATAGCTACGCTTATGATGATGCCACCAGTACTTTTACTTGCACCGGAGCCGATTACACCATCACATTCTGCCCCAATGTCCCAAGGTAATAACAAAACATTAATCTATTGAAGTTGATTTCATTTGCATAAATCAAAGGTGACATTTTTGGAGGAATTAATTGTTGTGCAGTTTGAAATCTTCAAATGGGGATCCTAACGCAAAGGGAACAGGAACAATTGAAACAGAGCCGAATCCCGAGCCGATGCAGACTGCTGCACTGGCCAGTTCATGGCTAGCAAATTTGGCCACCGGAGACTCGACAAGAACCCACCTTCCATCACCTTTACAGTCTGCTTTTGTGATGGCCGTTTCTCTCCTTTTCCCATTTCTATGGTTGTAGAGTCTTTCCAAATTGCCCAAATTCTACTGTTCCATCGCCATCTTCAATACTCAATTAGGGAAATCCTATTTCAAGTACTGCTCAAAAAAATTAGGGAAATGCTAGAATTGCACATCAAATGTATTATGTAAAGCATTTTGTTTTAGAGAAAGAAATTATTTTGCCTTTTGTGTTGCATTTCCATGGCTGCACTGTACATCTGCTTCTGAGCTTAAAGCAGAAGATTAGAAAATGTAGAGGAGTAAACAAAAAGAAAAGTCTTTACAACTAGAAATGGATTCCTTTTTCAAACCGGGAACACATAAAGAGAGAGAAAAAAAAAAAAAAAAAAAAAGGGGAGTGTAGTGCTTTTGGATTCGAGCCCTTGAGGTTGTTGGTTATAGTGGGAAGGCCACTTTGCGGGAATAGCAAGCTTTTATGATTTGTCTGCCATGGCGAAATGGGGTCTGACAGACAGTCTCCAAGCCATTTCCTTTTGCTTTTATGATCCGTTCGGTGGAAAAGAAAAGATAAGAAAAGAAGTAAAAGTGTAGAGTGAAAGTGGGAGAAATCTTACAGCTTTCTTATTCAACGGCTAGGCAAAAAGAATCGAAGTGCAAAGGGGTTTGTGACAATTGTGGTAAACTGTACGGAAATATTTTACAAGAGGTGGGAGGTATTTGCAGAAGAATGTCAAATTCATAATCAACCATCTTAACAAGGTGAACAGATAGAATAAAAAAAAAAAAAATCATAACAAGGTTGAATTGGAATGATAACCATAGAACTCCAGCAAAATGATAACCCATAGAAAATATAAAAATCTAATGCCTTTATAAATATTATTATCAGGAACAGCATTTTGGAGCACTTGATCTAGTGAGATTTGGCACTAAAAAAGATATAAGATACAAATTTTGTTTTTTTTTTTTTTTTTGAAATATAGATAAATTTTTAACAATTTTAAATTAGATAATAGATTTTTATTTTTTAAAATAAGAATATATAATTTGTGTTTTTTTATTTAAAGTACTATTAGATAGTGACAATAATATAACAAATAGTAATTTTAATTAAAAAAATAAAATTTAAATTATTAAATAAAAAATAACAAAATTTATATCGTTAAATAAAAAATAAAAGTTTGCCACCTAATTTATAAATTCAAAAAATTTATATCTTTAAATAAAAAAAAAAATTCATATCCTTATGTAAACATTTTCACAATTTGCCACCAAGGTAAAAAACCTCGATCCTCGGAGGAGAGAAATTCCAATAATAGCTAATAAAGTCTTTGTTCAGTGGTTAAAGAACAAACTGAACTCAGAACGTCTTGATTCATGTCCCTTAAAATGAATATTGTTTCATATAAACAAAAAGAGTAGTCCACAAACGTGAGTTTCTTGTCCATATTTGTAATTAGAATGCAACATGGAGAGAAAGTGAACGAATGAATAGACAGCAGAAGTGGGGACTAAGGCTATATGGTGCAAAACATGTGACAGCAAGGCAAAGGGATGTCAGTTGGAGAACGATGGAAATAAAGGTAAAAGAAGGCAGTGGAAGGAATGATCCCAGTTGCCCTCCAAAGACTACGTGAGATTCTTCACCAACTTGTGTGGGCAAAATCATAAAGAAACAAAACTACTTTTTCTTAGGACAGATGGATAAGAAGCAGATGGGACTTCGCTGTACCAAATTTCCAAACATTGCTGTATAAGGCTTTTGAGCAACATAATGCATGATTTAGTACATGACTAAGCAGAAAAGGAAAATGTAAATGGAATAATGTCTCACTCTAATGAGGATTCAAAGCAAGTGTCATTCAAAGGCTAGATAGGGTTAATACTTGCTGGTGCTAATGCTATAGAAATGAACATTTATTTGCAACGTTTGAGAATAACTTACAAAAGTATAGGAGATCCTAGAAACAAGGCTTTTACCATCAAACATCAAAGGACGTTATTGAACTCTTGACTTTTTCCCTTCTCTGTTTTGATTTATCGTGTCCCTGCCATGTCCAACTGCATAAATACATGTAAAGGGTTACCTATGCAAAAAAAAAAAAGAGGAAGCCAGAAATTTGTAAAAAGGAGTATGACCACTGATGTTAGTTGAGGTAGATGCATTAAGATATTCATAGAAGACAGAAAACAAGAGAGTAGATGCCGAGGACTAAACCAAGAAATAGATGTCGAGCTGCTAGAACGTATAAAATCAAAAGGCACACAGCATATTTCCCACTCACACATAAATGCTAGTTTGATGCATCCATATGAGCATTAAGTACCCTTTTTTGACAATATTCTGCATCGTCCTTTAATTGGAGGGCCTTTTGTTTAGTCTTTGCATGAAAATAAAGAGTTTTCAAAACGTAGCTTTGATGCTCAATGGATATAAGGAATCTTTTATCAAAAGTTCTAGTGCAGTCATCCCATACCTCAATTCCTATTGGCAAGCCATAGCTAAGCAGGGCCTACAGGACTCTATAACCAGCAAAAGAAAGAAGTTTGGCAAGTAAATGTACACGAGAATATATATATATATACCACTATCGCTTGGTAAGCCTTTCTGTCTATTACATGGCCAACCGGCAAAGAAAAGAGTTTCTGCTCTTACTGTATATAAATGCCCAACATTTAAGATGATAACCAAAGGAATATATAAAAGTTCATTGTGTATTCTGAGCAATATAGGATAGGAGTGATCTTTTACCTAGCCAGGCCAGGTTTGGTCACTGTTCATGAACCCTTGATGGCGCTTCCAAATTTCAGCATCATAGTTCTCTGTTATGCTGAAATGCAAGCCAGTTTCTTTGATTTCCTCCAGAAACTGGTCCAGAGAGTCACCTCTTTTTGGACTGAATAATATAGCTTCAGAAGACCCCACATTCTTCAATAAGCACTGGACAATTCGAGCAAGGCTTTTGTGGAATTCCTTAAAGATGGTGCTGTCAAGATGTCATATGAAGAAAAAGAAATGAGATAAATAACATCAGTATGCCCTTGCAGCTGTACTATGGATAGACACTCTTTGTTGACCAGCGAAGAAAACTTAGATCATTAGACATCTCCAGGCCATAAAAATTTGTGGCTGGAAAACATAGTTTTACACAGTCCAATTACCATGCATGATTAAATTATAAAATTCTTAACCATGAAAAAAGGGGATATTGATGAGATAAATATGAGAGTGTGGACTTTTAGTGTACATGCAAATGCTGGACCCATCATAACTAGCGCCCCATGCTATCCAAGAGTAACAAGGGAAGACATCATTTGTTGTCATAAAGCACTTGATCCAATCTATAGTAATTAACTAATGTAGTCTTTAATCTAAATTGATGGTTCTCTTAGCTTTGATTTTATAAAAATAAAGAAGAAAAAGGTAAAGAGCATATGCATGTGTTCTTGTAAAGAAAATTTAGCAGATAAGAGCAGTTACCACATACCAATCACTTGCAACAATGACGTCAAAAGTATTAGAAAGCTCAGAAATTTCATCATGGTTCCAGTGCAATGTCATAGACTTCACTTTCGTGCAACCAAACACTTCAGAGTTAGCATCTATATTATGCTGAATGTCTTGATGTCAACAGAATAATACCTCGATATTAAGGAACCTCAAAGTTTATGTCCAAAAAGAAAAAGATGGGGAAGCATAAAAGGA